AACTCAAAAAAAAAAAAAAAAAAAGATTATTGACATACATAATTATCACCATCAGACCACTGGATTTTTTTGATCTAAGGCTCTTTATAAAGTATAAAACAAAAATACCTGACAAACAAAATGATATGATGGGAACTTTCAGATACACTTATCTGAGACATTAACACTAACTCATACCAAGATGAAATGACATCTGGAAACTAAGAAAGAGACTTCATCAAAAAAGAGGTTTTATTTAATTTACAAAGTACCCAACAAAAATCAGTTTTCTAGGTAACTGGCATTTTCTCCTCTTATGACAAAATTCTTATTTTAAGATTTTAGTGGAAATATTCCTAAACAAAATTAAGTATTTGATTTCTAAAACATGACTTAGCCATCTTTTACCATTCAAGGTAGTTATAAACATTAATTACTACACTAGACTGCAAAACATTCTCAAGCACTAATTTAAAAAAAAACAAAAAACAGGATCTCTTGCTCCTGCTGTAAATTACTACATATGCTTTAGCAATATAGTTTTTCTACTTTCTCTTATGCTTCAAGGGTCTACCCGCTGGTATTGCCATGAGTCTACATTTAGCAATTCTTGTTTAATTTTTAACCACCTAGCAAACTGGATAAGTATGATTTTACTCAAAATAATGGTCAAAAGAATCCAAGTGAGAGACTAGCGTGTTATTTCATTAATAAAATGAGTGAAGCTTCATTTCATTCCTTTCCTTTTTGTGTGTGAATTATGTCCTTTAGAACTTTTGTAAGCAATAATGTGTTGGTGTTACATTATCTTTGGTATTTATTTAATGACAGTTTAGTTGGGCATATAATTCTAGAATGGTAGTAATTTTTCTATGCATGATAATGGAATGACTCATTCTATTATCTTTTCTATAATTACTCTTGAGAAGTCTACAACCAATACATTTGTCCTTCCTTCTCTTCGAGTTATCTTTTTCTCTCTAGTAAATTTTAAGATCTTCCTTGTCTTTGTTGCCCTGTTCAGGATTTGTTGTACTTCTGAAATCTAAGACTTATGTGTTTCATCAACTCTAGAAAATTATTATGATCATCTCTTCTAAACTGCCACTTGCCCATTCTCTCTTCTGAAACTCCTATTAGACCTTCTCATTCTAGCTCCATATCTCTTATTTTCCTATTTTTCATCTTTCTCTTTGCTACTTCATCATTAATTTCCTCAGATTTATCTTCAAATTCATCCTTCTTCTAATTTCATTAATTTCTTCTTTAACTGTGTCTTACCTGTTAAATGAGTTGTTAAAATTTCAGTAACTTTTAATTCCCATTTCTTCTGCCAAGTCTGTCAATTTTTAGTGTCTCATTTCTTGCTCACATATTGTATTTCTTCTTTTATACCCATAATAATTTTAAGCAAAATGAATTGATAGTGTGTATCCATTATTTAATTATCTGAAGTTCTTGGTGGGGGGTAAAAGGAATCTAATTCTGTTCTTTGTTTTCACTCTTGCTTATAGTAGATTATTACCCTGATGTGTTTTGTAACTTGGGAGTATGAACTCATCTTTACCACAGAAATTCTTTACCTATAGAAATTTTTTGCAATATAGTTGCATACACACTTCCAGAGTATACTTGTTTTTGTCATATGTTCCAAGAGTATCACTGGCTTGCAACAGTTTTTAATAGCAATGTCTTGTCATGGGTGTTATCTGACTACACAGCAAACTACAAATTCTTTTCATTTTTTAAGATGGGAAATAGAGGCAATGAAAGTCAATGTCTGAGATGAAGCAGGTATGGTCCTGACTTCAAACTACATGTCTTTTATCCAAACTTAAGGATTTGTTCAATAACTCCCTGATCTCATTTCAGCAACTGCAGCAAATGTAATTGATAAATAACAACACCTACTTCCAATGACCTTTATGAACAGATACCCTTTTCTTTCCCACTTCCCTTTCCTGTGTTCAGCTACCTTCTCCATGCCACCTCACTTTCCACTCTAGCAAGAGATTATCAATTATTCCCTATTACAAACTTTTGACTGGTTATGTCTGGAAGCTGGCCCACAAAAAAGTGGCATTCTCACATAGAAATTACATAAAAGTTCCTGAAAGGTAGCAACCCACTTTTTCAGTTATTAAAAATCTTTCACCATCATTGATGCTTTCAACTTTTTGTTGTTTTCTCCTTCAACTCCTGTAATTCTTCTGATTTCTAGACTCTAGAATTCTGGTTAATCCTAATTGCCTATCAGTATCCTCTTGATTTTTTTTGTCTTCTTGAAAAGAGGCATTTTATGATGGAAAGGGCATATTTATCTAAAGGCCAGATGGTCCAATTTCTAGCTTCAGTTTTTTTTCCTCTATAAAACAAGGAAGGTCTTACTGGTGATACTGTGAGAATTGAGTTCATGTCATAGTAACAGAGTACTCAGGATATAGGAGGCACTCAACTTACTAGTTCATTCATAACTATACATTTCAATTTCCCTCTATAAAAATGATAAGACCACCTACTTCATGTCTTTTTTTTTTTGGTGAAGATCAAATCAGTGTATACAGGGGTGTAATAGTCACTAAAACAGAGGCTCTGACCTCTGTATAGAGAAGTGAAAAAAGCTTTGGTATCAGACTCTGGTATCCCAGGTCTGTCAAATACTTATCTACATTACTGTGAACAAATTGCTTTAATTCTCTGACCTCAGCTGCTTATTCTACTTAATGGAGTGGATAATATTTACTTCACAGGACTGCAGTAAATGTTCTGCATATACAATGTTTAACACTGTAACTAGCATAAGGCAAGTATTCTGCTCAATAAATGGTAAATATTACTGTAATTCAACAATCCTGCCTTTTATTTTTAGCATATGGGCCATACCTGCTTGTAACATAATTTAATGTACTTTCATAATTTAGAAATTGTATATTCTCTTTTGTCTGAAATATTTATGTTACTAATGGCTAGATCAAAACAACCCTGTCTTGATAACAACATTTTAGGTTGGCAGAACAAAAAAATGGCTATAAAATGCACAATTTGCTCCCACTGATCATCAGAGAAACTAAGAGTTCAGAAATTGCTCAGCATATGCTATCTTAACTAATGACATACAAATCAAATGACAAGTTATTGACAATGGGTTATCTTCTTTGAAAACAAAGGATATCATACACACATTTCAAAATAACCCAACCACAAAAATATAAGTCTTAACAAATCTAAAATTATTTTCTTAACTACTCACAGAGATATACAGAAAATTAAGCTAAAACTTAAATCATATTGTCATCTTTAACTTCATCGAAGTGATGCCTTTAACTCACCTAAATTCCAACAGCATTATCTTTCTAATGGCAAACCTGAAAACATAAAAATAAACACATTTTAAAATAAAGAAAATATACATTTCAGAGTTATTCATACAAACACATTTTGGAATCTCTTTGTTTTCATATTAACTCACATATCAAAATCATAATATTAGACCACAACTGCCAAAAGCTAGCCAATCTCAACTTCCTAGGCACTGACCAACATGCTTTCATTACTCAAATGCACATTCTACTAAAGAGTCATGGCCACCAAAAAGCACATAGGACACATGTATCTATATTAAAAAAATGTGGAAATCAGATGTTTCACATGCTTCTTAACGTTAACAATGAGCCTAAAATATTAGACTATCGTGGCGGAAATATTATATATTTCCCATTATACTGTCTTTTTTAAAAATTAGAAAATATAGTTTATTTAGAAAGTCAATTAAAGAGAGAAAGAGAAGATTCTCCTCCTCAAGGTAGGGGAGAGGGGCCAAAGCCAGGAAACATGGCAGCGGCCATGGCTCCAGAAGAGCATGGCCACACCAGAATTTAGTAAGGCAGTGGCTATACTGTCTTTTTTTTCTTTTAATACAATAGTTGTTTTATATGAATAAGTAATGCTATCATTGTGGAGTATTTCTCCAAAGATAGGTACAAATGACTGCTAATTTAATTTTATTATTTTGTAATACTGAAAATAAAATAGCCAGACCAGAACACTTCACTAGATAATAATTTCTAGCTCTGAAAATTAAATGCATGTGTATTATACATTTATAATATCCCAGGAGACCCTTATCCTGTCAAAATCCTAATCCACTGATTTCTGATGTAATAGTTTCACTGGGCATGCAATGTCACAAAACTTTAGTATGAATGAAATGAAGGTTTTACTATGCAAACGCACAAAAATAGAAGAACACTGCCAAAGTACTGGTTTCTATAGCAAGAGAGGGTGATTAGTGGATATGACCTCTTGAGTGACACACTAGGTTTCCAGCTGCAGATGCTTCACTTGAATTGCATGTTAGACAACAGAATTGATTTAGCACCCGCTATGTACAGAACTATACACTTAGTTTCTTTGGCCACAAATAGGACTTCATGAAAAAAGAGAAAACACTAGCTCATGAGAGAAGACCAGTATCCTAGTCATGATTCAGGGTTACTTTGGCAACATCTTTTAAACATTCTGGGACTTAATCTCCTCATATCTAGAAAAGACAGAGCAGTCAATTTTTCTTTTAGATAACCAGACAAGTAAAAAGTAAGTCTTGCTAGGTCAAGAAAAAGCAAAAGTACTTTGAAAACCACTCAATTCATTTTCTAGCAATCTTAGTGGTATTCATTAAAAATCTGGAGTTTTATAATTTTGTCAATGAACTCTCTGAGACAGATAAATGCAACAGCATATATGTAAGATGCAAAAATGGGTCAGGCCGGGCATGGTGGCTCATGCCTGTAATCCCAGCACTTTGGCAGGCCAAGGCAAAGACTGCTTGAGCCCAGGAGTATGAGACCAACCTAGACAACAGAGAGAGACCTTGACTCTACAAAAAATAAAAAAAAGGATATGGTGGGCTTTCCCCTATAGACTCAAGAACTCAGGAAGCTGAGGCAGAAAGATCTCCAGAGCCCAGGAGGTCAATGCTGGGCAAGCCACGATCCTGCCACTGTACTCCAGCCTGGGTGTCAGAGTAAGACACCAACAAAAAAGAAAAAAAAAGGTGTAGACATTTAGACATGATATCAGAAGAATTTTAAAGATAAGTATGAAAAGCTACAACTAATAACCACAGATATAAATAATTTTAAGGATATTTTATGGTTATTTTTAAAGTTACCAATATTTACTGAGAGCATGCCTTATACCTGACACTGTGCCAAGGATTTAACATGCATTTCATTAAATCCTTCCTAAAATGAATAACATGTACAACAAACTGGGTCCGTTAACCATACTGTTAAATCCGATAAGAAAGGGAGGGACATGAAAAGGGTAGTTGCCTTGCTGTTATAATTGTCCCCTGTTTCCTCTCTTGGGACACAAATGTGTGAAAATACGAGGTCTGGAGCTGTGACAGCCCCTTTGGAACTTCGTAGGAAAAGTTTAAAAAAAAAATTTAAGAGACTGACAAGGGCCTTGACACTATGAATTTCTGAGCTACCTGCTTGCAGATTTGTTAACTAGATGATTAAAGAAAAAATACTCTACAGTAAATCAAAAAATTAACCAGGCGTGGTAGCGCGCCTGTAGTTCCAGCTACTCGGAAGGCTGAGGCGGAAGGATCGCCGGAGCCCAGCAGGTCGAGACTGTAGTGGCCGGGAGCGGCCACTGCACTCTAGCCTGGGCGACAGAGTGAGACTCTGACTCAAAAAAAAAAGAAAAAGAAAAAATAATGCAAGGAGGGGAAGCTAGTCACAAAAGGGTATATACTGTGTGATTCTATTTAAAGTTCAAAAAGAATTCACACCTGTAATTCTAGCACTCTGGAAGGCCAAGGGGAGAGGATTGCCTAAGTCCAGGGGTTTGAGACCCATCTGGGCAACTTGGAGAAACCTCATCTCTACAATAAATCAAAATATTAGCCAGATGTGGTGGCATGCACCTGTGGTTCCAGCTACTTGGAAGGCTGAGGTGGAAGGATGATCAGCCCAGCAGGTCAAGGCTGTGATAGCCGTAAGCATGCTACTGCCTTCCAGCCTGGATGACAGAGTGAGACTCCTACTCAAAAATAAAAAAATAAAGTTCAAAGAGAAGCAAAATGATGGTGTTCATTTTGTATACTTACTATTATATATTGTTTTTAAAAAAGGAACAAGCAGGGCCTTCTGGGATGCTGACAATATTCTCTTTTTTTTTTTAGCCTAAGTGGTGGTTATGAATTGTCATTATAATTCATAAGGCTATACATTTCTGTTTTATGCCCTTTTCTTTGTAATATTTCGTAGTAAAAGAGCTTATATATTTCAAGTAAAAATAAATCCAAACACTTTGACAAAAGTAAATTGCTCTATAAATCACCTTTTTTAAAGCATATAAACCACTTAGGTGGATTAACAATAGGATTAAAAATCATACCAAGGTGTAACTGCTGGCTGGAGTGTAAATTAGTACAACCTCTATGGGAATCGGAATGGAGATTTCTCAAAAAACTAAAAGTAGACCTAGCATTTGATTCAGCAATCTTGCTACTAGGTATCTACCCAAAGAAACAGAGGTTGATATATAAATATATCACCTGCACCTGCATGTTTATCACAGTGCAAGTCACAATTGCAAAGATGCGGAATTAACTTAAATGCCCATCAACTGATTAGTGGATAATGAAAATGTTGTATGTATACACTATGGAATACTATTCAGCCATCAAAAAGAATGAAATATGTCTTTTGCAGCAACTTGGATGAAACTGAAGAACATCATCCTAAGTGAAATAACACAGGAATAGAAAACCAAAACCATACATTCTCACTTATAAGTGGGAGCTAAACTAAGGAATTGCAAAGGCATAGAGAATGATATAATGGACACTGGAGACTTAGAAGGGGGAGGGAGAGGAGGGATGAAGAGATGAAAAATCACCTAATTGGGTACAATGTGCACAGACAGGAGTGGTGGGTACACTTAAAGTCCAGGATCCTTCACACTACACAACGCAACCTATTTGTACTACACAAAAACTATTTGTACACCCAAACCTACTGAAATAAACAACAACAAAAAAATCATATCAAAGTGTACTAATTAAGAGATTTCTAGAGGGCAATGGACTCTGACTTTTTAAGAAAAGAATACTGAATAAGAGTCAAGGAACTGAGATTTAATATTAGCTGTGCCTCTAAATATTGGGAAATATCTTGGGCAAGTCAGCTAACCTCTCTGTACCTTAGTTTTCTCACTTGTAAAACAAGGATAATAATAGTGTGTCATAGGGTTGTTGTGGGAATAAATGAGCTACTATATGCAAGGGGCTTCTAATAGAATCTGGCACATAGTAACCACTTAACAACAATTTTAAAAAATATTTTCGGGATCAAACTTGTATAAAAATACATTGAGAAGCTTACCAAATCTGATAATGGCAAGAATAGCAAAAAATAAATCATTTGTGTCATGTACCATACACTCCAGGGGTGACTGGGCAACATGACTTTTTAAGAGCTAATTTTCAGGCTAGGTACAGTGGCTCATGCCTGTAATCACAACACTTTGGGAAGCCAAGGTCGGAAGATTGTTTGAGTCCAGGAGTTCAAGAACAGCCTAGGCAACATAGCGTGACCTTGTCTTTACAAAAAAATTAAAAAATAAGCTGGGCGTGGGGGTGCATGCTTGCAGTCCCAGCTACTGAGGAGGCTGAGGTGGAATGGTTACTTGAGCCCAGAAGGTCAAGGCTGTGGTGAGTAGTGATAGTGCCACTGCACCCTAGCCGGGGTGAGAGAGTGAGATTCCAACTCAAACAAAATTTTTTTAAATCAAAAAATTATATAAAAGCAGAATTAATTTTCAAATCCTAGAAATGATTATTTATATCATAAGACTATTAAGAACTAATTACTTCCCAGATGCCTCCTGGAAAAACAGGCTGATGTGCAAAATATGTATGTTACAAATACCTTGGCGTACAATATTAAGAGTACCTTATGGCTATAAACTAATAGCATGAAAACAAGTTAATAAATATTACATCAAGCTATTCCCTAATACTGAAGATGCCATGAGCACATAGATCAGCAAAGTAATTTCTTCAGGCATCAGTCTAAAGACCTGGCCATTTAGATTTTTAAATACATATTACATTTTCTGTGTTACAGAAAATGTGTACAAGATTTTTAAAAAATGGCTGTTAAAAGAGCCATGAGCCGGGTTTGGTGGCTCAGCCTGTAATCCTGTGCCTTGGGAGGCTAAGGTGGGTGGATTGCCTGAGCCCGCGGGTTCGAGACCTGCCTGGGTAACTTGGTGAGACCACATCTCTACAATAAATCAAAAAATTAGCCGGGTGTGGTAGCGCGTGCCTGAAGTTCCAGCTACTTGGAAGGCTGAGGCAGAAGGATCGCCGGAGTCCAGCAGGCTGAGGCTGCGGTGGCCGGGAGCGGCCACTGTACTCCAGTCTGGGCGACAGAGTGAGACTCCAACTCAAAAAAAAATAAAATAAAAATAAACAGTCTGGCTGGAGCCGGGCTCGGTGGCTCAGACTGTAATCCTGTGCTTTGGGAGGCTGAGGTAAGTGGATTGCCTGAGCCCGCGGGTTCAAGACCCACCTGAGTAACTTGGCGAGACCTCATCTCTACAATAAATCAAAAATTGGGAGCCGGGCTTGGTGGCTCAGCCTGTAATCCCGCACTTTGGGAGGCCGAGGTGAGTGGATTGCGACTGAGCCCGCAGGTTTGAGACCCGC